TATACTGGTGGTAGCAATTCCTATAGAAATGTCAAAAAAGAAAGTTTTAGGAACACAGAAGGAGGTAACTGATTGCCAAAACATTTGGCCTTTATTCTGCAGCAAAAGAGTCAGTGAATGTTTTAAATAAGTACTACAAAAATGTTTAGACAACTCTATACTGGCTGTGTAGAACGTTATGGGAATAGGGATAAATAAAAGGCTAAGAACATAATACACAACAAAAATAGCTACCGTTCATTAGATGCTTTCCTGGATCTTTCAACTGTGCAAGAAACATTAGCTATACATATTATTTTTATGTCCCAATTTGCTAAGTGCTTTATAACAAAGGGATTTTTTTTTGAACTCTTAAAAGCAACCTCTGATAATCATTGTTTAACCCATGAATAATCTGAGGCTCAATTATTGAAGTGGATTGCCTAAGACAGCTAATAAATAGCAGAAACATGATTTATATTCAAGCTGACTCTAAATATTATAGTTCAGTTGGAAACTGATGAGGATTTCCGCACGTACATGCATGCACACACAAACACATACCCATAAAGAAAGGCAAACCATAACTTGTTGTGTCTGATTGAATACAGGGTACAATAATCTCAGTTAAGTTTGGTTCACATGGGGGTGGGAGGTGGGGTAGGGAGGAAAAGGGATAAAAGATCTGCTAGTGAGCATGCGTGAGCCTAGTTTCTATTCTATTTGGTGGATAGACTGTTCAGCGCCTTCAATGAATTGTGGCTTCAACACTCAGGCAAGATTTGATGAACTATTGATGAACTTAATGATGATCTATTGGGGTAAAACAAGGAAAATATTAAAGTAAAAGGGTACATGGGAGTAGATAAAGAGTAATGAGGGCAAGTTTAGTTATTGTACTATGAGGTCAGATCATGCTTCAACTGCTGTGCTAATATTGCCTGTAACAGTGGATGGTTTTTAAGCAGAAACTCGGTATTTGGTGAATGTTATGAGGAACAGTAGTCGGATGGGTTTTTATTTGATTTGATGTACATGGGGGAATTATTTAAATGATCTTTTGTTTCTAACAGGAGTAAATGAATGGTTTATTTTCTTTTAGAAAAATCTGTCAGTTATTCAAGCCTACCTACCTCAAATCTGTATTAAATGTTTAAGGCACTGACCTCCAGTTGACAAAATTAACGCGCAAACCCCAAATATTAACCAGATAAAAAGTTAGATAGTAAAATGACTTGCTATCTAACCTTCAATGACTGTATGTCTGAGAGAACAATAAAGTACACAGCTGCAGCATTAATCTGGTACACAAAAATTGACTACAGAAGGTGGGTTTTTACCTTTTCTGAATGAGTAGGCCCTGAATATAATCGTTTGCAGTTAGCCAACAGTTTTTCAAAATCCTGTTTGCTTTAAAAAGCTGTTGTGGCGCTGTAGGATAAGCACTGAACTGCAAACAACAAAGTCAGTGGTTCAAACGCACCAGCTGTCCTTGGAAACGCTATACAGGGTCGCTATGAGTTCGAACCGAGTCGACAGCAATTGTTGTGAAGGGATGAGGCTATCTGGCTAGGAAGCCGCTATAGATCTCGGCCAAGATCACCAAAACGCATGTATTTGCAATGCGCCTGCCCAAACCGCAGCCGCTTAGCTCTACAAACACCCCTTAACAACAAAACACATTCATTATGGGAAATCTGAGTCCGCAGCACAAACGGTGCGCCAAGATTCCGCACCACTGCCTAGTAAGCCTGCAAATTCCAGCATTCACTTCTTCAGGGTAACCAATAAGGAAGGTACAAGTTCCTGCAGCCAATCACATCCGGATACGGTGTAACAATCTGATTGAATTCTGGGATTTGTGGTTTTCACGTGGCAGCACTCTACCGCGGGAGTTAGAGCAATGTAGGCCACGCTTCCGATTCGAAAGGAAGGTTTCCGCTAATAATTCTTCGGTCAGTTTTAGGCTATTCCTCTAGTTAACACTACTCTGAGACTTTATATTCTTTAAAAACTTGATCTCTTAATGCTAAACAAAAAAAAATTCTCAAGTAGTTCCAGATTAAAGCCGGCTTGTCCCATTTGCCTCCCGTCCTTTAACCGTCGCTTTAAAGTCTCGCGAGAACAGCTCCTTTTGGTCGTAGTCATGCCTCCTGAAAGCCAGTTCATGAGAAGACTGACACCTGCATCAGCCAACAGGAGTGCTGTCAAACTAGCGCCTCTAAGGCGTGCGTAGGGTGATCTTCGTGAACCTTGACCTGGGCTCGCAGCGTCCCGCGTCTGCCGCCCCCGCCCCCGGAGTGAATGAGGCGGGTTTTGGCCACTTGCTCTAGGGAGCGAGTGCAGAGGGAGTGGGAGCGAGACGGACCTGAGTGGCAGTGTCCGGCTACCCGGAGAGGCCCTGCTGTACTGCTTGCCGCCCATGAGCGCGTTCTCCCGCGAGCAACGCCGTCGTTAGGCCGGCACCGTAGTTCTACTTTCCCCGGGAGAGGCCCTCATCTCGCCGGGGAGGGGGTAGCCCGTGGAAGCGCCTCCCTGTTCAGCGTCGGCGTCGCGCTGCGACCCTGGAAGCGGGAGCCGCCGCAAACGAGAGGAGGAGCCCCAGCAGCAGCGGCGGCGGGCAGCAGCAGCAGCAGCGGCGCCAGCAGGCGGGATCGCGGCCGTCAATATGGCGAGCGCTTCGTACCATATTTCCAATTTGTTGGAGAAAATGACGTCCAGCGACAAGGACTTCAGGTAAGGCCGAAATCCTCCCCTAAACCCTACCTTGAGGCTCCGCACCCGAGGTGCTGGCCCTTCTCGTAGGCTTTGCCCCACCCCTTCGGCCGTGACTGATTTCCTTGCTTCCCGAAGGTCTCCAGCCCATCTCCCCGCTTTCTGCGTCCCACAGGCCGCTTTACTCCCCCACCGTCCAGTCCCCCCATTCTTTCTCTAGGCCGTTGCTCGCCGCCGGCCCTGGGCCTTTACCTGTGTGTCCCCAAGCGCCCCCGCCGCCTTTCCTGCCTCCGGGTCGTGATCCTCACGTCCCCGATAGCGCCAAGGGGCGAAAACACCTCCCATTGTGGGGCAGGGGGGTTGCTCTCGGTCCGGAGACCGGACGGCGGGGCCTACCCGCCGGCCCGCCCGAGGCGCTAGGCCTCCCTACTCGTCGCGGCTGAGCCTGCTGCCCACTCGGTGGCCCATCCGCGCCGTCTCGCCTGGAGGTATGAGTGGGCCTGGCAGGGTGCAGCTGAAACGCTTCACTTTTCGGAGCTTTGCGGATTGGGATCTTTACTTTTTCTTTGTATTATTGCTCTTCGGGAAGATGGGGGATGGAGGAAACTTGGCTCCAAGGGTTTTCCCGCCAGCATCGCTCTGTCAGTTTCCCTAGGCAGGTTAAAGCCGAGCATGAACTCGGCCTTTCAGTCTTTTGGCCTTGTTTCTACCATCGCTGCCAGAGGAGTGAAGTGCTGACCGGGAAACGGAAAAGTGAACCGAGCGAATCCATGGTTCTTACAGAAAGAAGGGGATCTGTACCATGGGGCTAATGGATATGACGCTGTCTCAGACAGATTCTTCCCCAGAAGATTTGAACTGTGGGTTCCAAATTCTTGAAAACATGCCTATTAAAGAATTGTTATATTATCCCGGATTGCCTTGCTTTCTTGCTGGGACTATAGTCATTGTTACATTCCTTCCTGTCTGTGCCTCCCATTCCCTCACAAATAGCTCTCAATCGAAAATACAGAAAACTTTTTATTTCGTTGATATTTAGGTTTTGTTCTTTGGGCTGTTGTGATTCTCATTCGTATGTATTTTAAAGCAAAGAACAAACTTTCCAATTAAACAGCGCTTTTCTCTCTAAACTGTATACTTGAAACACTTGAAACCATTATTGACTAGGAAGAAATTTCTTAGTTTGTTAGAAGAGAACAAGTAATAAAAGTCATGATTGTGTTCCTAATGAAATTGGTGTTGTGAGGTATTAAAGAGTTTTGGTTCTGTGATCGCAAAGCGTATCTAAGGAGTTTTAAAGTGTTGTGTTTGAAACTTTTAAAATCCAGTTTGGTAACGCTGAAGATTTTAGTGTTGTGACTTTCTGGAAATGGCATGTTTGTTTTAGGGGATATTTTGGAATTTTAGATTTGTGTAGGACACCTAGTGTGGCCCTATTGGATAAGCCCTGGATTGCCAATCACAAGGTCAGCAGTTCAAACCCATCAACTGCTCCTGGAAAAGCCTATAAGATGGAACCGATTAGACAGCACTTAACTATAACAACAGTCAAGATTTATCTTGGGTTATCTGTTGAACTCAGTGCTAACCACAGGGTCACCAGTTCAAGTCTACCTACCAGGCACTCAGGCTACAGAAAGGTGAGGGTTTCTGGTGCCATAAAGATTGACAGCCTCGGAAACCCCTTACAGGGTCTCTATGAGTTGGAATGGACTCTGTGGCATACCACCACCACCACCACCACCAGGGTCAAGATTACATTATTGGGGGAAGTAAATGGTTTTTTAAAAAGATGTTTGATTATCTTTTTCCCTTTGGAGTTTTGCCTGGTGGCAATTTATTATTCATTGAAATTTAATATAAACAGTACAGGGAATTTAAAAGTTCTGGGGATAAATTCCATTATCATTTAATTCCATTTTTCCACTAAATTTTTGAAGCCTCTTTGTGGTCAACCCTTTCCTGTCAAGTTGGTTCATCCTGTATTTTAAGTACAGTTGAAGTTGACCCTTGACCCATGAGGTAGTTAGGGACACCAACCCCCTCCACCCCCAGTCAAATTTTAATGTATAACATTTGAGACCCCCAAAACTTAACTAATAAATAGCCTGTTAACCAGAAGCCTTACCAATAATAACAGTTAATTAACATATTTTGTGTGTTCTTTGTACTCTATATCACACCCACATAAAAACTGCATTTTTAAATTAATAAGACAGGGTCGCTATGGGTCGGAATTGACTTGACAGCACTTAACAACAATAAGTTTTTTGTACAACAGTGGCTTCATCAATTTCTTTTTCTGTTTTTACAATGTCCTTATGCTGGATTCATTTATCTTGAAATAGTGGGCAACTGCAGGTGCACACCTCAGGTCTACAGTACATATTAAACAATTTTACTTGTAATGTCATGATTTTTCTCTGGTCCATGGCACTGTCAACATCTCTAGTGGCACTTTATATGGGTCCAGTGATGTTATTCAAGTTTTGTAGTAATGCACTAGACACAATGGAAAATGCATGAGAACTGGGAGAGATCACTTTTTATTGTAATCTGAAATTTGCTTGAGAGACGAATTGCTCATAGTGGTCACACAGCATTTTACAGTATGTAAGTGAACTTTGCAGTTCAGACATGTGTTGTTCAAGGGTCAACTACTAAATTTCATTCATTGTATTCAGTTTCAGTTCACAGGTAGTACTTTTCCTGTTGAAGTGAAATTTTATTTAAATATTCAGAATCTATGTAGCACAGTGACTGTAGGATCAACAGAGTCAGAATTAGCTTGATGACATTTAACTACAACAGCAATGTAGATAATATGTTTAGAAAGCACTTAATATAGTGATAGCACATATGTGATTGTTGATTGAGGCAGTTCTTGTAAACTGCTTTATTTTTAAGCTACTTGTATTGTTATGGATTCCTAGTGTGGTGCTGCAGGGTAACTTGCTGGACTGCAAGGCTGTTTGGACTGCAGGGTCAACGGTTCAAGCTCACCAAGCCGCTCCTCGAAACCCCACATAGAGTCTCTGAGTCGGAATCTACTCAATAGCACTTAACAACAAACTATGATAATTATCGTTGTTAAGTGACCCTGGTATAGGGTTTTCAATGCTGTAAATCTTTGTGGGAGCAAAAAGCCTCATCTTTCACCAGTGAGCTGCTGGTGGGTTTGAGCTACCGACTTTGTGGCTCGCAGTCCATTGCTTATTCTATGGAGCCACTTGTATTATAATAGGGAAAAATGCATGTTTGTTTTTATTTTATAAACTGTACATATGAAATATATAGTATTCTGGTGCTAAACTATGGTCACTCCTGAACTTTGTAAGGATTATCTACCAAGATGGGTTTTAATGGATTAAAACATTGCTTGGATGATTACTTTTACCCTAAAATTTCAATATTGACATAATTCTTCGAGTTGACTAATAGACAGTTAGAAGTAGGAAAAGACTTTTCTATAATTTAACATCATTAAGATTTTTATTAATACTGTTTTAAAAGGGGAGTCTTGGTGAGGCGCACTGTAGAACAATGCACTGGACTGTCAGTTTGGACCTCATGTTGGTTTGAACCACAAAATCAGTAGTTCAAATTTACCAGCCGTTCCTCAGAAACTCTATACAGGGTCGCTGTGAGTTGGAACTGACGGGATGACACTTAACAATTTTAAAAGACTTTATAATATAGTCTAGTTAAGAGAAGTCTTTGAGACTAAAATGAAATGTTTGCGTTAACTACAAATATTTAAGAATTAATTGAAAGATTTTGAAGGTTTTTCATATAAATTCAGTACAGGTATTTAAAAAATAAATGTGGGATTTTTATTAAAGGGTTATTAGATGTCACTGGCATGCTTTTTCACCTTTGTTGTTGTTAAGTGCCATCCAGTAGGTTCCGACACTCAGAGAAGTGGCTGGTAGGTTTGAATCTCACTAGTCTTGTAGTTAGCAGTCCAGTGCTTACCTGCAGTGGCACATCAGGACTCCTTCGTTCCCTACAAATGTTAAAATACTTAGTGCCAGAAAGATGTTGATGATGGGTTAATTAATTAATATTATTGAATACCTAACATGTACAAAGAGCGCCAGACTGCAAAGCCCTTTGAACTGCAAGGTTGGTGGTTCAAGCTCACCAGCTGCTCCTTGGAAACCCTATACAGGGTCGCTGTGGGTCGAAATCGGCAGTACTTCACAACAACATGTACAGTGTGCTTGTGCAGTGCGCTAACTGATTAGGTTAGAGATTCAAATCCACCCAGAGGTGACTGGTGAGAAAGACCTGGTGATCGTCCAAAAAATTAGCCATTTAAAACCCCGTGGAACACAATTCTGTTCTCTTTCACCTGGGGTTGCTTGAGGTCTAATCAACTCCATATACAGCAACTGGTTAACTTATGCAAAGCACACTACCTTGTACCAAGGGGGAGGGGAAAGAAAATCACCCAAAAGGAAAAAGACAAAAACGTTTTTATTCTCATGATAGGAATCCAAAGAGAATTTGACCTACTAATGTGAAACTGGTTGCAGCAGTGCATCAACAGGGAACTTCCAGAAATTCAAGGCAGATTCAGGAGAGGACATGAATGAGGGATATCATAGTTAATATCAGATGGATCTTGGTTGACAGTAAAAAAATGCCAAAAATATGTCTACTTGTGTTTTATTGACTATGAAAAGGCACGTGAATGGTAGAGTCTTAACAAATTATGGATAGCGTTGCAAGAATGATAATTCTAAAAAGCTTAATTGTGCTGATGGGGAACCTGTACATATACCAAAAAGCAGTCCTTGGAACATAATAAGGGGATGCTGCATGGTTTAAAATCAGGCAAGATGGGCATTAGGGCTGTATCCTTTCACCATACTTACTCAGTAGACACTGGTGTTGTGCTGTAGGATAAGCACTGACAGTTAACTGCAAGGTCAGTCAGTAGTTCAGTCCCACCAGCCACTTTACACAGGTTGTATGTTTCTGAATCAGCTCAACTGTTAAGTGCTGTCGAGTCAGTT